AGTCGTGTGTCTGCAGAGCAGCTGGGTCAGGCCCCAGGCCAAAGACACCGACGGAGTTACAGGAGCCTATCGAACTGGAAAGCTGCCCCTTAGAAGACAGAAGATACTATTACTACAGTGGTTTAGCAGGACAATCCTATTTACATATATTTAAAAACCATTCAATATTTTGTGGATGTAACTTTCTACTATAGGGGTGGGCAAAAGTAGGTTTACAGTTTTGAGTACACAAAACAGTTAGTAGAGCTATTGCAGTCATCACAACCTGCGTGTCTTTCCCCATATGGACAGCTGTAAGCCTACTTTTGCCCATGCCTGTATTTCTGAAACTGTTTTTATGCTAAAACGAGCTCTTTAGAAACTCCGTTTATCTGAATTATGTTTTATTCTCCAAACTTGTATAACCACAAATGCTTTCTTTTTTTTTTATGAAGCGTTCACTGTTTTTTTTAAACTTAGCCTCACCAGATTTACATTAAATGCTTAAAATCCAGGCATTTAAAATTCTGAGGGAAGTGATAAACATCGTTTAATAGAAGTGTCCCTGTGCTGCTTTGTTCACGGTAGAAATGGTTCTGAACATCTGCTACTTTTCAGAGATAGTATTCCTAATCATAGGTACAGAACTATTATAGGAATTGGCATGTGATCAAGTTCTTAATGAAAATTTTATCTCCAAAATTTTAGTCTGCTCTCCACAAACAGCAACAACTATTTGAGCAATAAACCAAAATATGGTCCCAGAGAGCCTGGCGTCATAGTTGTAGGGAAGCTGACATGAGATGCTTCAGTTTGCCGAAGCCGTTTGCTTTTACTGTCCTCCAGATAACTCCAGCAACAGCTCTTCAGTTTATTCCTCATCACGCTTGCACGCTTTCTCTTTTATGATTCTGAATACTTTTTCTCTCTGCACACTGAGTGTGGAAAACAATTAGATCAGTTTTGATGCTGAGGTGTTATTGGTTTTATGTTAACGTTTGCTTTGGGAACGTTGGAAATCAATGTAAAGGATGGATCTTATGGGCAAGCTCATCACTCCAGTTTCAAAGAGTTATACACTGTATGATAATATAATAGTCTCCAAATGACAGAGAGTAAGAGGATAGACCAGTGGTCCCACAGGCTAGTGTTGGGGTCACACCACGGGGTTTCTTTGTAGTGATGGAACATGTCTATATCCTGACTGAGGTGTTGGTTACTCAGATCTACACATGTGGTAAAACGTCATAGAACAATAGATCAAAAAAGAAAAGAAAAGAGGAAGAAACACGTTTACGTGGAAATCTGAATAAGGTCTATGCGTGGGTTGATATTATTGGACAACATCTCTGTCCTAGTTTGGACAATGTGCTAAGGCAAAGTAACATTGTAATCGAGGGGAGCTGGGTTAAAGGTCCATGGTAACTTTACTACTTATACAATTTCTTGTGGGCCTTAAACTATTTCAAAAATTATTTTTTAAATCAATGAAAAGAACTTATTAGGTTTTTGAAGAGTTTCTTTCTTTTTTAAATGCCAGAGTGTAAGTTCTCCGAGTATTAGTATAAGGCAGTGACAGTAGGTGCTCTAGGAAAAAAGGAAGTTTGTAATAATCCATAGGACTTTTCCAATAATACTTCCTAAATAATGTTTCCTTTTACTGTTAGTTTCTTCTCTCCCCTCTGCTCATCCAGTTTCTACCAGTCTTTTATGCTCCTTTATGATCCCTGACAGCTCTCTGTTCCTCTCTTTCTTTCCTACTGTCTTCCATTCCTTGTGTACAATATCATCTCATTATTTCCACAAAACGCAAAACCAGGTCAGTCACTTCCATTTATAGTTATGGTGTGTGTGCACCTCTGAGAATTTCTGGAAAGCGGATGGATGTTAGAAGAATTCTAATGATCAGGGATAGGTGAGACAGAGAAGAGAATTTGTATTTATATTTTACTGGATTATTCCTTAAGAGGCCAAAGTTACTTACAGTTGCCCCAGGTCCCTCGATAGCTAGATTTTAGAAGTGTTCTTCAATAAACACCCAGGAAGGGACTGGAATGAACAAGAAATAGGATGGTAATATTTTCTATAACATAGATCTTAGTCTAAATCAGGTCATACTTAAAATTCCTAATTTTCTCATTCCAATGCAAGACCTGTTGATACTACAGGGGGGTCAAAGTTGATTTTCCCAGAGTTGTTTTGGAGTTGATGCTTACCTGAATCTTCAGGTCAATATGATACCAAACCTCAAGATAATAATCCCCCATTTATTTTTATTCTATCCTTAAAAGAAAAAAAAAGTTGTGGGTGCAAAAGAAGATTTCTGATTGATATTCAAGAATGATTCTACATTGCTTGATTATATAAATAAACTTTGGAGATACTTGGAAATGGCTTTCTAAATTCAATATCCTTTATAATGTTAGCCACTCTGCAAAGTCTTTGGGGTCAAGGGGAGGTCAGAATAAAAAGCGTAATTGCAGCTACCTGGAGTGTGTATGTGGAATGAAGAAACCAACTTTTTAACATTAAATATGACACAATAATCATTGGCCAAGTGGACCTGGTATCTAACACAATTTGATGTTCTGGAGTATGAGTGGTAGAAGATGAATCATGAAATTAACATTTATGAGGCATTAATCAGGCCCTTGCTAATATCATTCAGTGCCTGCTTATCTTCTCTGCCTTTCATTGAATTTCAAGTAAAGAAAAAAAATTGCCCTGGTTCTAGTGAGTCTAAGAATGAATGCAACTAACTGTGGATGGGGTTCTCACTGATTTAGGACTTGGATAGCATTGTCATTCCTTTCTCTGTGTCTCACAAGGCATTTTAGAGATATCTTAAATAATCCTAAATATCCTAAATGATGATTTGGGACTCCCAAGCACGTAGACTACTTGAAGGCATGATTTTGTGTGTTTCATTCTATGTCCCTGAAGCTAAAACAGTGTCTGACACAAGTGCTCAATAGGTTTTGTTGAGTTGAATAGGCAATTTGGTGTTGGGAAAAGAACGTTGGAGTCAGACCAACCTTGGTTAGGAGCCTGGCTCTGCCACTGGGTGACCTGGGACAGATGCTTCACTTCCCAGAGCCCTGGTTTTCTCGTGTGAGAGGTGCTGTCTGACTAGCTGGGGTAGCACACATGAGCTCCAAGGGTGGAGCTGGGGAAGCACTGAGTGCTCAGTGAGAGATGTTCCCGTATTAACTCACATCCGGCCCTTCCCCTTTTTGCTAGAGCTTTCTATTTCTCAAAATGCAATTGATTCAAAAGGAATCATTTTGAGAGAAAACCATCATGATTTCTATGAGTCTCTAGAAACAGAATTTCTGGACAGAGGAGCTAATTCCTTCCTGTATTTATTAGTTTATTGACCCTGAATCAACCAATCACTTCCACGTGGGATCTGTACCAACATAAACATGGAAAATGCTGCTTTCTAAAATTTCACCAATTTTCACATTCATTATTTTCAGTCAGGAGGGGAAATTTGGGTTCTGTTTAATTTCCGCTTGTCAAGTAGGTTGATATATGGACCTCTTTGATACCTAAGATGACCCAAGGAGCTAAAGATGCAGAATTTTCGTCTTCCTTGACATTTCAAGGTCGATATATTAAATTCTTCTGACAAGTGACTTCTAAGCATTCTAGTCTTTGAAGTTGATTACAAGTTCTCACTTTCACTCAGTTGTTGTGGTGTACCTTAAATCCCTCATTTGTTTTTATTAATATTATAATCAATTATTGATCATTTACTATGTATCTACTTTCTAGTGCTGTAAAGGATAAGATACATAAGAGTAAGAAAGAAAGTTGAGGGTATAAGCTCTGTTCTCAGGGAGAAAATATATACAAAGTAAATTTAAAATAAATTGTATTATATGGATAAAATATATTTTATACATAAAATGGCTTGCATAAATAAAGTTATTAAATAAGAGATTATTATTATGATTATTAGGTTTGTTGTTAAACTGGAGAGACAAATCTTGTATACATTAGACAATTAGAAAAATTATTTGGGAATATTTGCATATGTATAGCAGTGTGGTAAATATATTTATATATTATTTTTAAGTGCAAGAAATATCATAAATAGGCAGCTAACTTCATAGGCTGTCCGGCAAAGAGGAAGTTGCCAACAAGGGCCAGAAGAAACTAATGGGTATGAAGAGCTGGTACCCTCTCAGGATGGCCCAGAGATGACAGTCACAACGCCCATGGAGAGTGGAAAATTCCAATTCAATATAGGCCTACAATACTGTCCAAGGAAACTGATCCAAGGGAATTGGGATGCGGGGTTAGGAGCTCTGAGGAGGGGTGATTCTCGGTGAGGTGTGCAACAGAATCATAGGTCCAGGAGGTCCTTCTGGGTTAAAGGTGTCTAGGATGACCCTGGCTATAAGACATGCTGAGAATATGGAAGAATGAAGGGCAGGATTGAGGCTGGCTGGAGCTGGACCTAAGGGGAAATTAATTGGGAAAAAGGGTTAGTCAAGAGTAAGGACTATTAGACTGGGAAGTAATGCATTTTGACTTGGATCATTCCTATAGACTGAATGCTTGTGTCCCCCCTAAATTCACATGTTGAAACCTAATCCCCAATGTGATTGTGTTGGGAGGCCTTTGGGAAGTGATTAGCTCAAGAGGGTGGAGCCCTCATAAGGGACTGGAGTCCTCATCAGAGGCTGAAGAGATGAGATCAGAGCTCTTCTCTTCCGCCACATGAGGACACGGTGAAAACTTAGCCTCTGTGAACCAGGAAGTGGCTCCCACCAGACACCGAATCTGGTGGCACCTTGATCTTGGGCTTTGGGCTTTTCCAGCCTCCAGAACTGTGAGAAGTACATTTCTGTTGTTCATAAGCCACCTGGTCTACGATACTCTGTTATAGCAGCCTGAATGGACTAAGACGATCGAAGAATGAAAAATAGAAATTACAGCTGCTTTTAAAAATTCAAAGAATAGCTTGGAGTAGCTTTGTAAATTCTGATCAGTTTGTTTTCCTCTCTCAACAGGAATCTTCCATTATTCTTTTCGTGGCCAAAAGAAAAGATAGACTTTCTGGTTCACTGTTCATTGCGCCGATACTACAGGTTATATATTTATATTTTGTATCCTAAGCTTCTCTTTTAGAATAAGTAAATCAGTAGTGGAGTGAAATTTATTAAATGAATTAGAAGACTTGACGCTCTTCATCTTGAAGAATCTTCTCTACCAGTCACATTCCTACCTGTTGCTTATAATCATATCAAAATCACCTCTTTCATGAAACCTCACCTGGCTCCTCTATCCATAACTGACTTCCCCATCCTTTGAAACCTCATAGCATGTTGGTTTATAGGTTCTCAGGGCCCTCACTTATTCCTTTACTCTTCAACAACATTTAATTTATCTCTATGTAGAATTTATTTATAACCCTTATTGTTCCAAAAGAGGAATAGAATATTCCACAAAAGGAATAGAAGAAAACATAAATGAAAATATGGTAATGAAAGGAAATAAGTAAGGACTATAAAATGAAGCCAACTGTCACAAACATTTTTTGGGTTCTTGCCATGTCCCACATGCTTGACAGTTTTTGCTCTCCTGGAAAGCAGAACAGAGTTGGGACGCAGATGTGGCTTATAGATCAGTTCAAATTTAGGAAGCAGCTTCCAACCATCACTAGAGGTTTGATATTAATAATTGTGCCCCCTACCTACCCATTTTCTTAATCTTCCCACTTATTATTGTTGTTTGTTGACAGAAAGTAGGCACTGGTGTATTATCAATTGTGCTAATACTAAGGGACTTTCTAACTCCACAGATATCTTGGTAGGTCTAGCCTCTTCAAGGTTTAAGGGCTTCCATGCCAAAACTATAATACAATTCATATAATTATTTTGGGAGACAGGGTGTTTCTCTATTTCTCCAGGGTATTTCCATTCCCTTTGTGTATGCTTAATACATACTATCTAGTAAAATGAATCCCTGGCAGTTTTCTATCAAGTTAAAGCTGCCTCTGTAAAAGAAATCTCATTGATATGTTGTTCTCTCTACATTGGCTAAATGGCAGCAAATAAGATAAGCAAATGATCTTCATTTTCTAAATGTTGTAAGAGCAACTGATGGCACCAACATAGTCATTTATGGCTCCAGGGCAAAGTACATCTGGAATGTTATGACTGTATCAGTATGTAAAAGTGCAGATTATTACCATGGCAATGCAAATAGCTACAGATTTCCCTCAAATCATGACCTAATTTCTATATTTAGACCAAAATAATTACAGAGAAAAATCCCTTCTGAGCCATTTTTGAAGCAAAGCATTTGTATTAGGAACATTTTTTAAATTATAAGAATATTTACTCTAATTCTGATGTATATCTTTATGTGTGAAGCAAAAATAAGAAAACTATAACTGAAATATAATTTTTATTGTAATTAACCATTAAAATAGTATTTTATTATAACAACTATCACATCAGGTAATGACTAGTAATTAGAATTTTTCTCACAGGACTTATTTCTTCAAAATGCTGAATTTTTGCTGCTCTGTTTCTAAAATTCAACTAAATTGCCAATGTAAGATTATAGGTCTAAGTGTTCCTTCACAAATTAGAGTTTTACTCCTAGGTAGCTCCAAGAAATGTTAATTAATTTCCTGAGGAGATCATATATATATATATACACACACACATACACACACACACACACATACATACACACATATATATGTATGTGTATATGTGTGTGTGTGTGTGTATATATGTATATATATGTGTGTGTATATATATGTCAGTTATTTTATTCATTCATTTATTTATTTTTAAGAGAGAGGAAGGGAGAGTGAGAGAAACATCAATCATTTGCCTCCGGTATGCAGCATGACCAGGGATCCAACCCTCAACCTTGGTATGTGACCTAACTGGGAATCAAACCCGTGACCTTTTGGTATATGGGACAACACTCCAACCAACTGAGTCATACTGACCAGAGCTAAAGTCAGTTACTTTAACCCAGCAAGAGAATATTAGCCCCTGTTCCCCCAAAGAGCCAGGTATACACATTTATGTATGTCAGGAGCTTTGCCATCATCATTTCTGGGCTTTTATTGGTGGGAGAGAGAGGGTGCATCTGATACAATGTGGGGCAGAGGGCATGCAGGGTCATTGTGGAGAGGGGCATACAGAGGTTGGTTTGTGATCTAAGGGACAAGCAGGGTCTAATCTGGGAGTCATTAGGGGATGCTTGGAGCCAACAGGTAACATTAAAAGCCAAAGGGAAATAAGTCAAGAACCCAAGAGCAACTGCTAGGAGGATCCAAATAAGTTTGCAAAGACAACTTTCTTATGTAGGACAAATATGTAGTAAATCCCTGGCCATGTTTCTCAAGGTTTTTCTGATCACAACTTAGTAAGAAATATGTTTTAAATCACAGCCTAACACGTGCTCACTTGCAGCCCTCATTGTGTCAGAATTTCAGAAAGATCCTTGCTCCCACCACGGGTGAGGCACTGTGATATTTTCAGTTCTCTTAGGTTCTAGTTTATTTCACTCAAAAGATGTTGGGAGGAGACTTATGAAACTGATTTCATGACCTGCTGATTGATAGAAGTCCATAGCTTAAAAACGTACTGTTTTGAAGACTGGGGAGATGGGATGAAGAGAGTAGGAAAAAAAGGCTAGAGGCTGTGGTTTCTGATTGTAAGGAGATTGAAAGCTCCTTAGGAAGTTAGACTGTAACATTTGAGACAACAAAGTAACACATTTAGAGGAGGGTAAATCAAAACAAGCAAAGTAACAGGCAAATCAGCATTAACACAAGTTAGTTATAGAAGTGTCAACTTGAGATGTGAATGGTTAAGGTCAGCGATTAGCGTTTTCCTGGAAAAAATAAGTGTAAAGCTAGCTTTTGAGTGACACGGATTGACGGAGAGTCCAGAAATGGAAATAGCCCAGACAGTGTCACAGCAAGCTCTGACAGTGTGTGGCTCCCAGTTAGAGTGGACAGTGTGTATGGTGTAGAAGGATGAAGAAGTGAACTTAGGAGAGGAGAGGAAGGTGGAAGTTTCAAATACTTTAGCCTCAAAGACATTAGAAGAAAACTACCTTTGCCTATAGAAACGACAGAATGCAATTAGGTTTAAGGATTATCCTTGTGACCATGTTGAGAGAGGATGCGTTGCCATCATATCTGTTGAAGACAAAGAAGATTGTTGTTGTAACCTAGAGAGTGTGAAAACCCTGACCTAATGGTACAGAAGTGAAAACATAAGCAGGGAAGGGTCTAGAAGGCTTGAGGATGCATTGGCTCCTGTAAGTCAGTTTGTGACATACTTTCTTGGTATAAGAGTCAAAAGCTGGGTGTGACTTCAGAAGTGATTAAAGGGACTGGCTGTGCACAGTGTCTCCTGTTGCTCTGCCAAGGCACTGTCTTCCTCCAGCTGTACCTGGCTTTACCAGGATTCATCATTCCTGGGTTAAAACACAAAGAGCAAACTCATTCAAATGTCTTTTCACCTGGTTGGATGGGACAGTAAACTTTTATCAGCCTCCCTCTGATTTCTGAAAAGCTGTGTGTGCATTTAGGCAATCTGCCAGCTCTTTGGAAAATTGGACCTAGATCCTCCAAGGCAATGAAAGAAGAGAGGTTTCTCATGTGGGTGAGGGTGGCTGGACCTTGGACCCCTGCCTCCTCCTTCTAGTGATGCATCTTTCCCTTGGGGATTTCACTAATTGTCCCTGCTCCCGTTTCTGCTGGGGGTGCCCTTCTCTGCTTCCCCTGCCTGGGGAGATCTAGGCCTGGGCTCTGTAAGGAGCTTGATAGAAGATACAGCTGCAAAAACCCCTTACCATCAAGCATGCTGTACCTCAGAGTCTCGGAGTGCATAAATGGCAGCTGGCACGGGATGAGCGCTCCGCCCTCTCTTGGCACGCATGCCCGTGCTGCTCCCACTGTTCGCTGATTCAAGTGCTCGTACTGATCTCCCCCCTTTACCAGCCGATAAGGACCCTTATCAGCAGGGTTAACTTCTCATCCACTTCATAGTCCTTTACTACATAGCACACAGTAACTTCTACCAATGTTTATAAATTAACAGCACATGAGAATGTAAAGCATTGTTGTTATTCCTGGTGTCCCTACAAGGCTGAAGTTAAAGTTTATATCTTTTATTTAGGACAATGATTCAAAATTCATTATTGGAAATTAGTTGATCACATGAGTAGAAATTAATTATTTGGCCTTGGACTATCTCAAAATATGGTGAATATCAAGGGGGAGACCTTAGGAAGATGCCAGGGAGCCTCAGAGATGCCCGATGAAAGGAAATTCTATATAAACAGAAGCAGAGCACCAAAGTCAAACTTCATCTGCTTAATCATCTTACCTCAAATTGTTTTTCCTACATCACTGCACATCTACTTAAATACTGTCTCTTCCCACTTGTGTTTATGGTGCATTCCCTCGATACCTCTAAGGAGAGCACACATAGAACAGATTGTTGCTTTCCCGGACTCGGTGCTGTGAGCTGTCCTCCCCTCTCAAGTCTACAGTGTTGGCCCCTTGATGCTCAAGAACTGCTTGTGCCTGGAAAAATACATCCAACTCCATACAGTGAGGGACTGTCTCTGGTTTTCTCATTTTATCTTTAGTCTAGCACATAATAGTCTCCATGAGTATTTTTGTTTGAATGAATATTCTCAGTGGTCTCTGAATCCCACCCCCCCTCCCACCTCCTTTCTTTCAGGGCTGGAACAACCATTATCTCTGACAACTTAAACTCCCACTTTCTTGTATTCATCATATCTGTAAGTATGCAGCAAAGCATTACCTTTTTAGTTAAAATTCTGGCAGGGAGCTACACCCAATGATGATATCCCCTAGATGACTTTCATATTTGTGATCAGCTCTTGAGCTAGGGTGCGTTGGACCTGACCACAGGTTGCCCAGTGACGCTAGATGGTTCAGTATTGACTCATTTTTTTTCTTTCTTTTTTAATCATCACCCGAGGACATTTTTGCATTTTATCTTGAGATAGAGTGGGAGGGAGAGAGGGGAAAGAGAGAGGGAAAAACATCCATGTGAGAGAGACACATCGAGTAACTGTCACCCACACGACCCCAACCAGGGCCAGAGACAAACTGCAACCGAGATACGTGCCCTTAGTGGGAACCAAACCCTGATCTCTCTGGACCGCAGGCCAACGCTCTAACCGCTGAGCCAAACCAGCCAGGGCCAAGTTTCTTTCTCACTCAGTTATTCACTGTCTTTTCTCAGGGTCGCTGTCGGATAATTGCTCAAGTGAACTATGAGGAAATATCTGTACATTCCTGTGTAATGAAGTCAAGTTCTGCCACCCTGAAAAATGCCCACACTGTTCTTCCATCAAGAGGAACTCTTGATGTAACTGGAAGAAGTTTAAAAAGTAAGAATATTTCTGTCTAATAAGGTTGCACAAACATTGGAATTTATTTCTGAGTTGCAATCTACCAATTCTGGATCCATATCAGCCATATAATATTTATTTATGTTAATTACATGAAATACTTTTCAATATACCATTAAAAAAAGAAGGAAAAATTAAAACAAGTGTTTTCTTTTTCATTAAATACTATTCTACAATACCATTTTTAAGACGTGCCTACTGTTACACCTAATGAGTGGATCATAATGTGAAGTTGTAATAGAATTTACAACAACAAAATATCTGTTCTTATTTAAGCATCCACAGTTTCTCCCAAGACTTCGTTCTCAGCTGCTAGAGAAAAAACACTAGACACGAAGAAATCTCCACTCCAGGTAAGGTAAATGCTATAAATTTGGTGTGTTGTCGAAGATCTGAATCTTAGGTTCTTTTCTTTCTAACATATCATAGATATTTGTTCCAGGGGTTGCAGAGTAAAGACATAGGAAGATCCCTGTCATCTGGGCACTAGCCCAGGGGGCACCCCAAATTCCCCTGTTCATTTCTTCAAGTCTTAAAGATGTCAAACGGATCCCTTACTTTTTCAGGAAGTTTTTAAGATGAGAAATCCACTCTTTCTCTGTGATACAGGGTAGTCTAGCAAGCTAGGCAAGATAAATAGCAAGATTTTGTGGGATCTTCCTTGGTTATACTCAGTAATGCTCTTGATGACATTTAATTTATAAATATACATTCACAGTCGTTTGTTAAGCAGCTACTGTTTTCTGAAATAGGGACACAAGTCTGAGTAAGGCCAAACCTTATGAGGAAGAGGACTTTAAATCTCCATCGGCAAAGTAAATTATTTGTAAACGCTTCCGAAGAGTGCACACTATTTGTAAATAACATTTGTGGGTTTTAAAAAAAATGTAATTCATTATTATACACATCTGTGGCACACATGGCCTGGCCTGCTTCTTGCAGAGTATCATACTTTTTTTTCATTGAGGCCCCATTTACAAGTCCTTAGTAACAGATTACCAACAAGAAATGTCTGATCACTAGAGACAGACAGTTGTTTTGGTATCTGTGTTGATAATCATCGGCTTGGTGCCATGCCTCAAGTCCCACAAAAGCACATTCTCTTTCAGACAGGACCTAACCATTCATTACAGCACCCTCCCCTGATGGAGGTCCTATCAGCTGCTCTGAGGTTAATGGCTCTCTGCTCAAAGAGGGGTTTCTGTCCTTCCAGCATCATTAGCTACTTCTTTTTTTCTTTCGCTGATTCATCAAATACTCCTTGAGCACCTATTCTATGATGCTGCTGCTCTCTGTTTATGATGCCACATATCTTGGGCCCAAGGCATTTTTCCTTCTTTCTTTAAAGTCACAATTTTTATCGTTGTTCCAGTGCATGTCCTGGATACACTAGAGATTTTCCCTGGTGCTAGAACTAATGGGAAAGTGAAATAACTCCGGTTTAATTGAATGCTGTTCTGTCTTACTTGATGGAACTAAGGAAAGTGACAAGCATTAAAATTTTTAAATTACTTTTATAAGGACAAAATGATTTTCTAAATTAATTAATGTATCATTTATTAACTGCTGTTAAACCCTTGTTAATTAAATAGAATGGTAAAGTTAAATAAAAAAAGATGGATGATTTCCTAAAGGAGATGAAATAGTGATTCAAATATCATTCTTCAGGTTTAATAGACACATACAGCATGGTATTATTCAGCCAGGACTTGGTACTACAGGATGATGAAAAACTTCATACAGGTAGAGCATTATGGCAGCAAGAAACAGTAAGGATTATTTTCCAGAGAATGACTGCATTCTATTTTACTCTATTCTAGTGGTTATTAACTTTTCTTGGTTAAGAATTCAATATATATAAATCAACTAATGTTTACTGAATATCTCTTACATGACAGACATTTAGGCATAAGAGCTATGAATTCATGTGAGCAAAAATAGTTCTCTTTGAGAATTTGGTGAAAACTAGACACTCCTTCCAACAGAAAGAGAATGTATACCTGCATATTTATACCAGTTTTTGTACACAAACTCTCAGGAGGTATATAGATCCCTAAAGTTCATCCACAGCAGCCCTAGGTCCCTGAACTTATGAAAATATTTGAAGTTATTCATGCAAGGAATGTGTGTGTCTTAGGACAAGCCACGCTGCCTCCGTAGGCTTCCCTGCGTGTGTGTGTATTAAATAAGGGTAGTAAGTGAAAGTTTCCCATTTCTAAAACTCGTTGAGTCACTGAGCAGCTGTAAATATGTTTGTCTACTAGTATCATCTGTCTCTCACTGCTCATATATTAGTGTGTGGAGAGAAAAGAATAGCACAAAACAGAGCATAACAAAATAGAATGGGAATGCAAGAATCCTCAGGAAAACAGAGATATATTAACTCCTCCGTGAGAAGCGGCGGTGCCCTCCACATGTTCCCATGATGAGTGTCCCAGGTAGGGCTTGGCTTCGAATTCCCTGACCTCCAGTCCACAGACCTTTCCACAGTGCCGTGGCATGTACGGAGATTTATCCCCCACTAATGCCCACAATGTGCTTGGTTACTTTGTAGTAATAACTGTTTTTTTTTAATTGATGTCGCATCTCAGTTGTTTGCTTGTTGAATTAACATACTTAACTTTAACTGGAGATGATAGTGATGATAATTTGGCTCCGTAGTATAAAAGATACTTAGGAAATTCAAGCATATTTGGGAAATCCAGAAAGTTTCACTATGGCAGTAAGCCTCGTGTTAGGGTTGATTTGTGTTCCCCCAAAATTCATACATTTGAAGTCCTAACCCCCAGTACCCCAGAAGGTAACCTTATTTGAAAATAGGGTTGTTGTAGATGTAATAAGATAAGGTTACTGGAGTGGGTCCTAATCCAGTATGACTGTTGTCCTTAGAAAAGGGGAAATTTGGACACAGCCACGTACACCAGGGAGAACGCCAGGTGAGGCTGAAGGCAGAGTTCAGGAGGGCACTTCACAAGCCGAGGAACACCAAGCCACCAGAAGCCTGGAGAGAGGCTTGGAACAGATTCTCTTATAGGCCTTAGAAGGAACAATTCTGCCGACAACTAGATTTTGGGCTTTCAGCCTCCAGAACTGTGTGACGATACATTTCCATTGTTTAAGCCCCCAGTTTGGTACTTTGTTGCAATAGCCCTAGCAATCCAGTATACCTAGGGAGCCCACGTGGCCTCTCTGGACTCTGGTTTCCTCGTCTGTCAGTGGGGGGTGAACCGGACCGAGATATAGTTTTCAGATGGTGCTGGGATCCCTTCAGGGGCATGTACGTGTATGGTGTGTGTTTGTGTGTGTGTTTGTGTTTCTTGTGATACAACATACCTGTGGAGTAAAAAATTATATATATATACATGTATGTTTATCCAGAATTCCTCTGACCCCTCCTCCTCTGTACCAGCTGCTTTCCCCAAAACAGATCCTCCCTGTTGGTTTCCGGATAGGGAGAGCTCTCCAAGAGGTAATGTGGAAAAAGCAAGGTACGCAGCAGTGCATGTGACATGCTTCTTTCCTTTCTTCTGAGCTAAAAAGGGGAGGTAATAAAAAAGATGAACAATAACAACTGTTGGTAAGGATGTGGAGAAGCTGGAACTCACATACATTGCTGGTGGGAATGAAACATGATGTAGCCCTTTTGGAAAGAGGTGGCAGTTTCTCAAAATAATTAAACAGAGAGTTACTATGTGACCAAGCAATTCCTGGTATATCCCACAGTAATCAAAAGCATACACAAAAATCTACACGGCTCTTCGTGGCTGTATCACTCACATTAGTAAAAAAAGAAAAAGTAAACAACACAACTGTCTATCAGCTGATGAATACATAAACAAAATGAATTTAAAGTCCCACTAATTTAATTAAATTAATACAAAATTTTTTTATATCTATAAAATGGAATATTGAATCAAAGAAAGAAATGAAGTATTGACACCTTGAAAACATGCTAAGTGAAAAAAGCCAGTCATAAAAGTGCACCTAATGTATGATTCCATCTATATGAAATGTCCAGAGTAGGCAAATCTATAGAGTCAGAAAGTAAACTAATGTTTGCTCAGGGATAGGAGAACGGGGAGTTGGGGAGTGATAGCTAGGGGACATCAGCATTCTTTCTAGAGTGATGGAAATGTCCTTTAATACATAATGTTATGGTTGTACAATCTAAAACCTACCGAAATATACTACAACCATTTAGTTGTACACTTTAAATGTGAATTTTATGGTATATGAATTATATTTTGATTAAAACACTCTCTGAGAATAAAATAACATTTTTTAAATGTGATCAAATAATTTATATTTTTTGATTATGCACAAATAAATTCTGTAAGGATACATATAATACTTATTAATGGTTACCTGGATTGGAAACGGCTTCTGAGGTAGTGGAAACCAAGCAGATAGGGACAAGAGAGACGAGAGAGAGAGAAATAGCTAGCAGGCTAATTTTTAAGTTGATAATTTTGTATGGCAGAAAAAAGGTTCCCCACCCCTGATATAAGCAAACAATGTGATTGGTGAAACAAAATGCTTACATATAAAATAGTCCTACTTATTAAAACCTCAAAATCAGTAAACATTAGCCTTTTCCTCTTTCATTTTAACTATTTTTTGTAAATGTTATTAGTATTTTATAGGTTACAACCAATTGGTTGTTCATGCAATATATCTTTTTTAAATTGATTAAAAAGTAGAATAAAATAAAACAACCAGGGTTCATCTTATATAATAATGGTAATAAATATTTTGTGTAGAATTTAAGAGGGGTGTGTGTGTGTGTGTGTGTGTGTGTGTGTACTGGGTCATATACTATATATATATATATATTTTTTTTTAATCCTCACCCAAGGACATTTTTGCATTCATCTCAACTAGAGAGGGAGGAAGAGAGGCAGGAAGAGAGAGAGAGAGAAACATCGAGGTAAGAGAGACACATCGACTGGTTGCCATCCACACGACCCCAGCCGGGGCCGGGGACAAACTGCAACCAAGGTACATGCCCTCAGCAGGAACTGAATCAGGGAGACTCTGGTCTGTGGGCCGACACTCTAACTGCTGAGCCAAATTGGCCAGGGCTATATTTCTAACTGTGGGCTTGGTTGAAAAAAAACTGTGAGTCTGGTCCAGCTGGTGTGGTTCAGTGGTTAGAGTGTTGGCTTGTGCACTACAGGGTCTTAGGTTCAAGGGCATGTCAAGGGCATGTACCTGGGATGCAGGTTCGATCCTCGGCCCCAGTTGGGGTGTGTGTAGGAAACAACCAATTAGTGTGTCTCTCTAGCATTGATGTTTCTCTCTTCCTCTCTCTCTTTCTTCCCTAACCCCTTCCTTCCATTCTCTTTAAAAATCA